AATGTAAGAACAGCAACGAGAAATGTTCAATAACAGATCACAGTCAACGAGTTCAATTGATTCAATGTCAACATCGGAATCGTCCTGGTCAATCAAGCATTCATTCTCTTCACTTGCTTCATCAATGTCTGAGTCCGTAATGTCACTAAAAGGGGCTGGGCGTTTGTGTTCGTCTAACACAGAAAGCTGCATCTTCAGTTGAGTTGCTCCAATCGTCAATTGTTCCTGGCTGGTATTATGCAAGGGCAAATCCACGAAAGATTGTGTACTTGACTAACCTTTGGAGGGGGGCGTCTATTAGATATGGGGCGTTTATTAGAGGGGGGCGTCTATTAGATACGAGGCGTTTATTAGAGAGGGGCGTTTAATAAATATATGAACGATTAGGGGGGCGTCTATTAGATACGGGGCGTTTATTAGAGAGGGGCGTTTAATAAATGCATGAACGATTAGGGGGGCGTCTATTAGATACGGGGCGTTTATTAGAGAGTGGACGTCTAATAGGTCATTTACGGTATGCGTATCCGACGAAACGAACTCGAATTACCAGAGGTGCTGCTATAGCTGTTGAGGCTTGGGCTCATAAAAAACCTCTTTGCATTGCGGGTAACCTTTTCCCATTTCAGACCCATGTGTCATTCTCTTGAGAAAAAGATTCGTTGTTTGAGTTGTATCCATATTTAGCTATCTCCTCATGCACAACCATATAAAACAAAGAATTGATAATCTAGGAGATGACACGTGGTCTGAAATTGAAAAATTATTATGCCCAAGGTAAAGAGGTCGTCTGTATAAGTTAGCCGTGCCAAGGGCGGATCCAAAGGGGGGCGGGGAAACAAATGGGAACTGAAGCCTCGGCCCTTCAGCAGAAAAAAAACTGCTTTTTTATTGTTTTCCGTTGTTGACGGAAGGAACATAATTAGCCCCCCCCCCTTAAACTCAATTAGCCCCCCCCCCCCAAATTTTTTGGGTGGATCCGCCCTTGCGTGCTCTGTCTTTGATCAGCCCACATGTTGTTCGGGTCAGATAAAAGTCAGTGTTTTTATTTTGTCCTCTGTACGTTGTAATTGATACCTTTATTTTTTATATCTTTATAAATTAACCATGCAATGATAGTAACAGACAGGCTTATCCTCGAAGTCTTAAGTCAGTGTGACGCCCTGGTTTCAGAACATGTCTGTCATGAGTTTTGTTGTATATATTTGCCACAGATGATGCACAATTTGAATGAATAGAGGAGTTCAGTCTTCCATATTGGGATCAGGGGGGTACCTGCAATCTCTGCCCACATCCTGCATTTACTTGATCACAATACTTATGATGGTATATGTTTGGCAGTAAATAACGACAGAGAGGCAGAAATGACCGTTTCCATGGTAGTCGCTAGCGGACCAGCCAAAGCTGTCAAGCTGGATTGCCACCACAAGTAATCCGCAACAAAATCCCGATTTTCGCCATGTTTTTTTTTTTTTTTCAGGGACCAATTTACTTCAGCATTATTGAATACAATGCGATGTTTTCATTTGAATAAGGGGAAGAAGAATTTGATATTTTATATGATACGCCACTCAAGAGTCGATCCATCGGGTAACCGCGTTAACCTTAATTGCGGAAAGCGGCCCGCTTTCTTCTGTTGTTTTTCCATTTCAAACCTCTTCCGCGGTAATACAAGTCACTATAAGAGTTCCCTTCCATTCTGCATTCTTTGATTATTGCTTACTATCAATCACGTGACTTTTTGGAGTTGACTCGGGGGCAAACAAGCGGTTGACTGAGAGGGGCAACTAGCAGATGTTTAGTCAAAACATGTCAAAAGAAGTCCTCAAACTATTGTATTTGACTATTTCTACGACATGAAATCAAAACAATCTCCAAGTTTCTACAAGCCATTAAAAACCCAACTATTATCGGAAGTGACGTCTATTGATAACAACCTATTTGACCACCATCATTTTGATTATTTTATTGCTGATTGGTTGCCTGTCTAAAGAGCCTTTGTCCCGCCAGTCCAGCGGATTGAAGTTGAATAAAATGCTCAGTTGATTACTGCGCACAAAGTAAACCAAGATGGCGGACGAATTTGAGTTGAGTTGAAGGAAAACTTGGAATTGTTCGAAAATATCGTTAAAAAAATACATCGAAATAACCAATAAGCGTCTCACAACCTTAAACAAGACCTGAGACGTTCAGCGAGGTTTTTTTCTCTTTTTGGGAGTTTGCTCGTTGAGAGTTCTTTGTTTCGTTGTAGCTGACAACTCGCCAAAGTTGACACCAAACGAGCTGTCTTCAAAACAAGAGCAAATTCTCTCTCTTAAAGCTTTTTTCACGCAAAGCTAACGACATGTTCAGCAAAGGTGGACGTGGAAAGCAAAGGGGATTCGGGTTTGGGGGATTTTCTGTGGCAAGTAAGAAAGAAACCCTATTACAGCCAAAAGTATTGCAGAGTCGGAGCCAAAGCATGAAAAGCAAGGATAATGTCAAGCATGCTCCAACAGTGGCTCTACCTGAAAAGAGAAAACCGTAAGTATTAGACTGTTTGAATATACTGGCTTACTACAATTGGCGGCTTTTAGTTTAGTATTTCTTATATAAATAGCTTTTGTTTTCATTTCTTTGTCATTAACGAAGTGAATTGTTAGTGTTGTTGATGTTGATTTGTGGAAAGCCTTATATTGCTTGGGCTCTTAAGGGTACTGTCAACTTTTTCAGGGTATACTCTCAGTTAAAAATTGTTTTGCTTGTGTTGTTACAGTAAGGGTTGTTGTAAAGGTTAAAACTATCTATATAAAATGTTATAACTATATATTATACAATGGATCTAATGAATTGACCTATTTTGATTTCACCAACTTCCTTACATCGGTTCACTGCTTACACATAAAGCATTAATAGAGGCTGCAAGGTACATTTAGTTTAAAGGATTATTCAAATCTAAACCTTGCAGCCTTGGTGTTTGACCATGCAGTGAACCCATGTATGGAATGTGGTAAATATATGTACTGTAAGTCAGTGCATAAGCCCTATACTAAGATTATAGCAAGGGTTGCTTTTCCATGTCCTTCCATTTGCCTGAGACTCACAGTTATTTCCCTGTTTATAGACTTTTTGTGGATAGTGATGATGATGACTATGATGAAAAGAAATTCCAGGATGACAACAGTGATGAAGACACCCCAATGTATCAAACAAACCCTGATGATGATGATGAGGAAGATGAACTTGACATGTTTATGAAAGGAATTGAGGTATGGATTTGTGTATGTAGATCAGATTTTATATATGTTTCCTGGCAAACAAATACAGTAGTATAGCACAGACGAAACATGTGTGTATATTAATTTCCATTTTTGTGTGATGTGTGCAGTTATATAGTAAAGCGTTTGAGAATTGGCAGAATACTAAATAAGCGTTGAGATTCAAAAACTATGCTATGCAACATAACTGCGCAGTATAGGACATGCATTGATTTTCTACTTCATCATCTGCAGTCCCACACATGCATGGTTATTTGTAGGTGCGCATAAGGTGTTTAGCTGCATCATATTTGACTATTAACTCTTAGTCTGCATTTTGACTGAATGAATTGCATGAAAATAATAGCACATGATTTAATTTTCTGCATTTGTCATACCTCATATAAACCATTCAAATGCTGGACTACATTAGGGAAGCAGGGGTGGTGTAGTAGAGAGAAGTTTGCCTCTCACCACTGCCGACCTGGGTTCGATTCCTGGACTCAGTGTCATATTGAGTCATGAAAATATTATATTTATTTCATTTGTTTCATTATTAGTTAATATTGTAGTTTGTAGATTAATTATGAAAAGCCCCACAGGGAGTATAATAATGAAGTATTGTATTGTGTGTTGAGTTCGTTGTTTTGTTTCCATCCCTTGCTCCAAGGGAGGAAAACAACATTCAACATTCCTAAATTCTAATTAGATCTCAGGAGATTATTCTCGATAGGATTAACCTCTTATGTCTCCTTTTGCACTATAATGCAAATGAATTGATTGTTGTTGTTTTTTGTTTGCTTCAATATGCAGTCAGTCTTTTGCAAAATTTGACGTCATTTTTGTCTACTTTGATTGTCGACTCGTTTATAGCAAGAAGTCAAGAAAGAAGAAAGTAAGACTGAGGCACAAAGAGCTGAAGAAGAAAAGAAAAGGTAAGGTTTTATTTTTATCACTGACAGAACACCTGTTGATTAACAGAGCTGCCTTATCTCTGACATCTGTTAACCAGAAATGTTAGATGCTACAATGCAGCATGCCATAAAATAATAAGTTAGCTCAATACTTGTTGGGATGAGAATGTGCTTGTCTTGATCTCAATATTCTAAATTCCAATTCGATCATAGAATGACCGCCACAGAGATTAGACACTGGCTATTCATGGTTTTCACGGCGGCCATGTTGGAGGAACTTAACAAAAGAATTGTCAATAAATTCTTTGTTATATCCTCCAACATGACTGCTGTTTCTTTTGATATCTAATTGTCTTGGGAGTGGTTGAAAACCATCAATTAAGTACTACCCTTGAAAACTGTTAATTTTATTAATATATTTTTACTCTGCGAGCATTTTAAAAATATTTTATAATGAATAGAATCCAACGACAAGACATAGAAGAGGAAGATGATCAAGAGTCATATTTTAACTACATAAAGAATGCACCAGTACAAGCATATCCTGATGACGATGAAGTAGAAATTGATTATGATAGTGATGGAAACCCTATTGTACCTGAGAAATCTAAGGTATTCATGCATTGGTTTGTACAGTACATACTGTACCTCTTGTGTCTTGGACACCAGATTACTTGTTGTCTTTTGATCCATACAGTAGTTGTCCCAATCAGGACAACTATGGATAAAAAAAATCACAAGTAATTTGGTAATATATCAAACAGTCAAAACAAACGTGCAAAATGTTTCCATTAAACACTTACCACAATCTGCTTGGCTGTCATGATATCATTTTAAGGTACTCTACTTGACTAGAAAGGGATTAATAAAATGTACTAAACGTGCAAATGACAGTGATTAATTCTAAAAGCTCAAGTACAGATTGGAATTGTTTGATGTTAAATGAATATCTACTTCCTGTCAAAATACTCACTATTTTATATATATTTATTTATGCTTTTCAGATTATTGAGCCTTTACCTCGTGTGGACCATTCAGAGGTGAGTGAAAATAGACTCGTGATATCTCCAGTATAGACCTTATTCGTTGTGGTGCAAAGCTTTTTACATTACAGGCCATGTGCCATTACTATGTGAATATGATTCTTTGTTTGAGTTGTATCCATATTTATGTATTTTATCATGCACAATTGTTAAACAAAGAAATGACACTCTTGTGAATGATATGTTGTCTGTAATGGAATTTCTTTTTTTTGCATCATGATAAATAAGGTTTATTATAATGTAGGTTGAATATTTATTACCTGAATTGCAAGTGTTAAGAAAATGTACATGGATGATTGAGCATGGAGCAGTGTCTGCCATTAATAAGATTAATATGATTGAAAATATTACACTGGATAAATGCTTATTTAAGTAATTGAGCTATTGGGAAAGTTGGGAAAGTTTGATACTCAGAAGATATTGTATACATACTAATATATGGATGACTTCATTTTAAAGGACATAGGTGGCCATCAAAATGAAAAGAATGTTTGATTCAAACTCTCAGAAAAATCCAAATCCAAAAAGGATTCCTTCAAAAATATCTAGAGTACTGTATTTGGTTTGCTTTGAATAGATTGATTACCTTCCCTTTGAGAAAAACTTCTACATCGAACATGATGAAATTGCCAAGCTGCCTGTCCAGGAAGTGAATGAGCTGAGGAAAAAGCTTGGAATCAAGGTATATATATAATGAATTATGTAATGATAATGATTCAAAGTTGTATTAACACGTGGTGCCAGGGGTAGGGTGGTCACTTTTTAACCTACAGTATATGGTCAGTCAGGATTGTGTGATTGTAGAAGTTCACCTCTCACCTCTGAAGTCAAGAATTTGATTCCCAATTGCCCCATGTGAGCTGAGCTGGTTCTCTTTCTGACTCACAGGGTTTTTCTGGCCCTCTGGTTTTTCTTCTTTCCCTTTTCAAATAATTATCTGAATGATAGTAAGACAGCAATTTGCCTCAGGATCAGTGATTGTCCATTAACTTGCTGCTTATTTATGACTCAGTAAATATTCTCTGATAATCATTTCACCTTTGGAGATTAATTGTTAAATATTATATACAATAACAAGCCACATGTGTGCTCCTACCCCATTTAGAGAAAGCTGAAACTTAGCCTTATTACTAAATATCAGGCTTTTTTTCATATCTAGGGTTTATTTTGACACATCTGCTTTATTAAGCCCTGTTTACTCTGGCAATTTTTGCAGCGATTTTTGTGGCAATTTTCGGAAATATGAGATCTTTTGTCTCATCCTACAAAATCTTGGTATCCTGAAAAAAAAATTACAAGTAAATTCTTTACCGTTATTTATTATGGACAATATCGCAAAAAAATCGCAGCAAAAATTGCCACAAAAATCACTAGTGTAAACGGGGCTTTAAAGGTGGTATATTATGTACAATAACAAGTCACATGTGTGCTCCTACCCCATATCTTTATTAAAGGTGGTATCTAGTGTAACTTGTTATGGTAAATGGCATATCTATAATCAGAGGTAAATCTTCTTGCAGGTGTCAGGTGCCATGCCATGCAAACCTTGTATCAGCTTTGCTCATTTTGGCTTTGATGAGCAGCTCATGTCTATTATTCGAAAATCTGAATATACACAGCCAACCCCAATACAGTCTCAGGTGAATACGATTATTGTTCTGTAATTGCCAACCATAAAATCTTTAGTAAATTGTCAGGTGGATTACCTTGCAGGGACTTCAGTTATATTGACATCTTTGCCTGCCTTCAGGCTCATTGTTAATCATTTTAATGTTTAACAATAAAATATTTATCTCTTTAAAAAGAGATAAATAGATTTAATTAGTACTTTTGCATTTCATTTTCATGCCAAAACTAACAAGTAATATTCAACATTTTCCTGCTTTCAATTGTCATCTTACATGCTCATACAAAGTTTAAGACTCTTGTTTACAGCAAATGGGAAGTGCAAGTTAGCCAGTGCCAAAGTTTTAAAAATTTTTTAAAGGAATCTCCAAATAGTAGTATAAAAAACTGAAGTTTGAAAAGAATCTCACTGTTTTCATTTGGTTTCAGTCTATCCCCATAGCTTTAACAGGGCGTGACATCATCGGCATTGCAAAGACAGGTTCTGGCAAAACAGCTGCATATCTGTGGCCAGCATTAGTGCACATCATGGACCAACCAGAACTGCAAGTAGGTGATGGTCCGATTGCTTTGATATGTGCACCGACAAGGGAATTATGCCAGCAGATTTACACAGAAGCAAGAAGGTTTGGAAAGGCGTACAATATTCATTGTGTTGCTGTTTTTGGTGGTGGAAATAAATATGAACAGTCAAAGGCTTTGCAAGAAGGTGCTGAAATTGTTGTGGCAACTCCTGTAAGTGCAGTATGACATTTCTATTTTATGCTAAAGTAGATTAGGTGATTTTTTTATGGACAGCTTGTAAGCTGTAAGCTGGTGGCTGGACCAGTTCTACGCTTCATAATTTATTAGAGTTGTTAATAAAGTTAAAGGAGTGAAAGATGTGAGGTAATAAGGGATAGCCCCTTGGTTGTTTAAGCCCCATTTAAATTTTATTGTACCACTTGAAGAGTGGGGCTAAACCACCAAGGGGCTAAACCACCAAGGGGCTAAACCACTGGGGGCTAAACCACTGGGGGCTAAACCACTGGGGGCTAAACCACCAAGGGGCTAAACCACCAAGGGGCTAAACCACCAAGGGGCTAAACCACCAAGGGGCTAAACCAC